ATAAACTATGTTACATTTAATAGTACGTTAAGATTTATAAATATATAAAATTATTATTTTATAAATATATAAAATTATTATTTTATAAATATATAAATAATAGTTAAGTTAGCAATTTAATTCATTAAATATGAATATTAAATGTGTTATACGGATTTTATACGTGTTTACTACGGGAAGTCGGGAACCATCAAATAAACAAAAAAAAAAAAAAAAACAAAACAACTTGACAATAATATGAATTTGATTAAACAAATAAAATAAATACGAGTACATATACGATACAAGTATTTACTAAATATTAATTGTACTCATTTAAAATTGCTTTCTCAAAAGTTTCGCCAAGCAATTCAACACATTTTCATTTTGTTGCCGCCTCTAAAATCCAAATTTTTGCTCCAAAAATTTGCCTCCACAATCCTAAAATTTTCCCTCTTTCAAATTCTGAAATTTTACATCTGTGAATCTGCCTGCCATTTCCCTGAAAATTTTAACTCCTAAAGTTTCAAAGTGCCGCCATCCCTTTTGCTTTATCTCTTTTATTTCATTCATGAATAAAATATCTCTTTGAAAATTTCAAGCCCTCTTTCAAATATCAACTTTTGGTTTATTATTATCGAATTCCTTCTATTATATTCGGGCTGCGGGTTGAAAGGGTTACGAGTACGGGTTAGTCGGGTTGCGGGTTGGTCGGCTTATGAGTTAATCGGGTTGCAGTTTGGTCGGGTTATGGGTTGATCGGTTTGCGGGTCGATCGGGTTGCAGGTCGGGCAGGTTACAGGTCATTGACTTTTAGTCAAATCGAGCTGCGGTCGGGTTGCGGGTCGGGTTTATCGGGCGGGTTACTCGGGTCGGGTTAAATTTTGACAGCTCTATGCGTCTGCGTGGCTTCCCTTGCCTTGGTGTGGAGCCTGGCAAAAAGCGAAAGACAAACCTTTTCTTTTCCAACAAGGAGAGCAGGAAAACGCCCAACCAGCATCAGTATATATCGCAACCAAGGTTGTCAACCCGCGGGTCCACCCAGACCCGATCGAGCTAGTGGGTCAAAGGTTAATGGGTCACCCGGTTTAGCCCGGAAATATGGAAAGAGTCATTATATTGTACTTATCCTGAATCCAACATAAAAAATACAACACTACTTAAACTCCAACACATTTAAATAACATTAACTTAAATTCAACATAGTAAAAATTTAACAAACACTTAAATCCATCATAGTTAAAAATTAAACAACACTTAAATCCAACACACTTAATCCCCAATAATACTTGTGAAAGCTTGACTTAGATAACGAGTTCTTGGGAAGGGAGGGTGAGATTGCTTACTTTTCAAGAATATAATATTAAAAGCGTGAAGAGAGCGTTAATATTCGTTAATTTTAATATTTATTTAAATAATTATAGAATAGCATATATAAGAAGCCAAATTTATATAGTACTATTATTTGTTTTAAGTTAAGAAGGAAGAAAAAAGCCGACAAAAATTACAATTTAAGTAAAATTCCAATAGATACTAATTTGAGTTTCCTTATAAGATGTAGTAGGGGTGTACATGAATCGGTTGGGTAGGGACCACTTTAGTTACCCGACTCATACACCATAGTATACATATCATGAAATTCAAACCCACCCAATAAAATTAGAACCCGACAGTTCGGGTCGATTCGGATTAGAGTATAAAGTATAAACCCAGACAAAACCCAACCCAATACAAATTCCAGCAACATCACTATTCACTACCAGTCCCCAGCGGGAATCATCTCTGCTGTACAAGACGAATTTTCTATACAATAAAAGAGTGTGAGTTCAGAATTTTCTTCGGATCATTGTTTTGTTTCTTTATTCTCTTGTTTTTGGTTTTTTCCACATTATGATCTTCCCTCTGTTCTTTACTTGTTTTTTAGTTAAGAAACCAAAGCATTGGAACTTTGCCTACGTAAAATCAATTCACAAGAATTGATCCTAGTGGGCTTAAGGCTAAAGCCTGTCTACTAATTTCTTAGCTCAGTTTATTTCTTTTCTTTTAAGGTTTTGGTCTGTCTTTATTTAAAGTTGGGCTTTCCATTTCATGAGCCCATTCAAGGACATATTGTGCTTCAAATAAACGAATAAGAGATTCTGTCTGCCTAAATTCTAGTCCATAAGACTAATTCTTTAAGAAGAATCTTAAAACCTTCTTATTGGCTAATAGTGGATCAGGTAGTTAATGGAGATTAGTAGTTAGTAGGTAGTAAAGGATAAATGGGGTTATGAAAATATAATTAATATTACTAATTAATGATTATCTTTCTCTTTCCTCCCATGATTTTCTCCATAACCCTCTCTCTACACTATAAATAAAAGGAAATACGAAATTAATTTAATATTTAATAAAACTCAATTTTAATAATTTTCCTTCTTTTAAAATGGACATTTAAAATATATGTGCTCTCTCACATCGTGACAACTTGCAATGTATTATTAACATTTTGTAACGACATTATCAACGTTTATAAAATGAATCATCATTGGGACTTTTTGTTGCATGGGTTTAGGATTTTTCATTATTAGGTATTCGTTTGTGTTATTATTATTGTTGTTCGAGAGGTTTATTAATAATATTATATGGAATTATTAACTTTTTATTTTTTGGTTTATTTGTATCTTTAGAAAAGGTGAAATTATGCTTTCAATTGTTCATTCACTATTATATTGTATTATCAGTTCGCAATGATTTATAATCATTTGAAGTGCTATTATCCATATTTTTTTCAAGGACAATACAACCATTAGCAATAATTTATTTCAGTTGTAACATTGGTTATATTTAGCGATTTGTTTTTATTTGACAATAAAACAATTCATTTTCAATTAACGATTTGTATTATTAATATTTTTCGTTTATGTTTGTTACTTTATCCAATGTCATTATCAAGAAGCATACTAGTAAGGTATTCGTCTGTTTATCACATTAGAAAAAGTGAATTTGTGTTTAATGATATAACTATTGTTATTAACATTTGAGTCTAAATTAGTAACGTAGTTACAACTCATGGCTGAGTAATATCTGATAGAAAAAATGCTCTCAACTTCTGCTACCGGAACCCCTTCTCCGCCGCCGGCTCTCTTCCCCTCAGACCGACCTCCAGATCCAATATCGCTCTCTCCTCCATCAGCAACCCCAACATCTGCAGCCTTTGACATGCTTATCGACTCTTCCAGCTTGGTCGTTCCCCTATTGGGAGAAGCCAACCGATCTGAATCTCTAGCCACAATTGAGGAGAAAAGATTGGCGCAAGGCCCCGATCCGACATCGCCGACGAACCCAAAGCCTCATTTTTCATACGCGGCGGCGGTTGCGGGCTGGCAACCTCTCCTTTCGACCCCTTCATCGACATCACATTGGACCCCTGTGGGAGAGAACGATTTGATTCCTGGGCTCCGAAACGGAGAACCAGCACTAAATATTTCTCCTTCGTTCAAAGACAAGATCTGTGCTTCCTGGCAGTGCACCGTTGTTGTCAGATTACTTGGTACCAAGATCGGCTTTTCTACTTTATGCTCCCGCCTCCGCGGACTTTTGAGACCAACCGGATCTTTGGAAATCATGGATCTTGATCAGGATGCGTTCCTTGTCAAGCTCAGCAACGAACAAGACTACTTTAGAGCACTTACAGACGGGCCATGGACCATCTTCGATCATTACTTAGCGGTCCAACAATGGACCCCGAGCTTCAAAGTTTCTGATCCTCTCCCGAGGAAGATGATCGTTTGGGTTCAGTTTCCGGCGCTGAAAGTGCACTTCTACAACAAGGAAATTCTGACAACTCTGGGCAACCTTATCGGACGGACTATCCGATTGGATTTCCATAGCCTAATGGTTCAACGTGCGAAATTTGCCAGAATCACTGTGGAAGTAGATTTGTCGAAGCCTCTGGTTCCCCGTATCTGGCTTGATGATGCGTGGCAAAAGGTCGAGTATGAAAATCTGCCTGAGGTTTGCTTTGAGTGCGGTAGAATCGGCCATTCCTCTACGCTCTGTCCCAAACTCCAGACTGCAAAAGCTCCGGCGATTTTAGCGATTACCGGTGGAGAGGCTCCGACGACCGAGGCGACACAAGCGACGGAGGAATCGAACCCAGGATTCAGGCCATGGATGCTCGTCTCCCGCAAAAGTAGGCGGGACTCACGGACCCCCCCCCCCCCCCCCAAAAAAGGGAAACTCGAGGCAAATTCTAGGAGCTCCAACGGTGGAATAGTGTCAAAATTGGGAAAGCAGGATGGCTTGGGTAAAGAAAATAGGCAGGCGTCCCCAATATCTTCAATTTCTACCTCTTTTGCGTCACAACGACCACCATCTCTAGAAAGGAAAGGTGAAGCGGGTAAGAAGGTTGGGGACTTGACAAAGAAAGGGAAAGAGATTGTCTCTTACGAGACCCATGACCAGGAACGAGGGCTGCTGGGCCCTAAACCGAATAATAAGGCTAGTGGTAGTGGATCCAAGCCCACAACTGACCAGGTCCAAGACTCCACCTCGGCCCATACACTCTCCAAAGCCTCTGCCACCCCAAAATCGAAGACCCAACCCCCGTCGCTGCCACCGATCTCCATCCCCGCGTCTGTTAAGGAAGTTGGGAGGTCGTCGACCCTTGCCTCTCCCCCGCCGGTCAGTATTGTTACTGGCGCCAACAGTACGTTGATGTAGATAGTCAATCTCCAACCCAAACTTATTAAAGAAAAGAAAGGAAGCTCAGCCCAATGAAAGGGCTTCAAGTCTGGACTCCAAAGAAATACCGAAAAACTAAAGCCAGATCAAGAATTGCGACGCTAACCATCCAAGAAATTAACGCCTGGACAGGGGCTGCTAGGGAGACATTGGAAAAAGCGGGCGGCAACAACACAATGTCACGCTCGGAGGAGCAACCAGGGGCTGCCAAAGCCATTGATCAGACCAATCTCACCCCATGAGACTTCTCTCTTTATCCCTTCCTTCTTTTTTCTTTTTCCTTTACCTTTTTGCCTATGTCTGTCAACTCCAATTTAAAAGTTCATTCTTGGAATGTAGGTGGAGCGGGTAACAGAACATTCATTTGTGCTCTGAAGGTTATCAACCAGACTCACCGCCCCAATTTTGTCATTCTTTTGGAGCCTCAAATCAGCGGGACGGAGGTGAATTCTGTTTGTGACAAGCTAGCTTATCCAAACTCCATCCGTGTTGAAGCTAATGGAAGAAGTGGAGGAATTTGGGTATTTTGGGATGCCCGAATCTTCTCGACTCAGCTCATATTTGCCTGCGATCAACATATATCCCTGCAAGTTGAGGAGGCGAACAAGCAGCCATGGATCTTAACTGCTATCTATGCCTCCCCTCGGCCAAGTGAGAAACATACTCTTTGGGATAACCTCTTTCTTCTGAGCAGATGGATTGATATTCCGTGGCTCCTTAGCAGCGATTTTAATGCTATCCGCAGCTTAGAGGAGAAGTCCGGGCCTTCGACGGTAGCCACTGCTAGGAAATGTCGCTCTTTCAATGATAGAATCAACAAAGCAGAGCTGATCGACTTGGGGGTTTCTGGTCCGAAATTCACTTGGACTAGGGGAGATCAGCTACAAACTTTTAAGGACAGCAGGTTGGATAGAAGCCTCTGCAATTTACATTGGAATGAGGCCTTTCCAAGCACTTCGGTTCTGGACCTCCCTAGACTGCACTCAGACCACCTTCCTCTCCTGACTTCCATCTCTCCCCACGGCGGAAACTACGGCAGCAGCCGTCCTTTTAGGTTTGAGGCAGCGTGGTTAACAGATACCAATCTAAAAGATCTGGTGTCGGCAGCTTGGGACTCCGGTATTCCGTTCCACGACTCGATTGCAAGCCTTGCTGTTAAGTTACTGGATTGGAATGCTAACGTCTTTGGGAGTATCCAGAAGAAGAAGAATCAGTTGCTAGCTCGGATTAGAGGGGTCGACTCCAGGATGATGGGCATTTTTACTCCTTGGCTAGCCAAGCTTCGATTAAAGCTTGAAACGGAACTGGACAAGATTCTTGAGCAGGAGGAGGTTCTTTGGTTCCAGCGTTCTAGAGAGAAGTGGGTGCAGTTTGGTGAACCCAATACGACCTACTTTCACCAGTTAGTCAACATTAGAAGACGCCAGAACAAGATCGGAGCCCTTCAGGATGCCAATGATAACTGGGTGACAGATCCTCAAGCCCTGGCCTCTCTTGTCTTTGAGTTTATTGCTAACCTTTTCTTGCAAGAGAATATTCCCTATGAAGATAGACTTCCCAACCAGGCCTTCCCGCGGCTGAACTAAACAGAGATGCTTCTTCTGCTTCGTCCCTTCACCATTCAGGACATTCACAGAGCGATTTTTGAGATGAAGTCGTTTCAAGCTCCCGGCCCGGATGGTTACCACGATGTGTTTTATTAGCAAATGTGGGACATTGTTGGGAAAAACCTGGCGGATGTGCATCTGTCTTTTTTTTCTACAGGTTCTATCCCGGACGCCATTACTGAGTCTACCTTAGTGCTGATTCCGAAGGTCGGCATCCCTGAGAAAGTCACCCAGTTGCGACCAATTTCTCTCAATAATGTCAGTCTCAAGGCGATCACCAAGGCTATGACTAGCAGATTAAAGCCCATTATGAAGAAGCTGGTGTCACCAAGGCAGAGCAGTTTCATTCCGAGCAGACAGACGACTGATAATATCATCGTGGTCCAGGAAGTCCTCCATTCTCTGGAGAAGAAGAGAGGCAAGAAAGGAGGGCTGATCTTCAAGATTGATTTGGAGAAGGCTTACGGCAGACTTAGGTGGGACTTCCTGAGAGACACTCTTAAGGAGGTTGGCCTTCCCAGTTCCTGGATTAACTGCATCATGACCTGTGTGGGGCTTCCTCAGCCGATCACACCGTCCCGTGGTGTCCGCCAAGGAGATCCTCTTTCCCCTTATCTTTTCGTCCTTTGCATGGAATGTTTATCTCACAGAATTGATGAGGCAATGAATGGGGGTCAGTGGAAAGCAATCAAGCTCTCTGCTAATGGCCCACCTCTTACACATCTTTTCTTTGCAGATGATCTTCTCCTCTTCGCGGAGGCAGAAACTAGGCAGATTCAGGTGGTGAAAGATTGCTTGGAGGATTTTTGCTCTAGGTCAGGACAGAAGGTGAACTATGAGAAGTCGATCTTATATGTTTCTCCTAACATTAATCGACAGAGGGCCTCGAGACTGAGTCAGCATGCGGGTATCCCTCTTAAAGCTGCTCTGGGAAGATATCTAGGCATTCAAGCGATTTAGGAGCGGGTGTCTAGTGAGAGATATCAGTCTCTCATCCTCCGCATCCAAAAGAAGATGGCTCCGTGGAAAGCCAAGTGCCTCTCCTTTATGGCAAGACTCACCTTAACCAAGTCTGTCGCTGCCTCCCTGCCTGTGTATAACATGCAGACTGAGATGATCCCCAACAAAGTCGGCAAGAACATTGACAAGATGAACAGGGACTTCATTTGGGGCGATGAGCCGGACAAGAGCAAGATGCACCTGGTGGCGTGGGAGAAGATGACAACTCCGAAATGTCAAGGTGGAGTGGGCCTCAGACCAACGAGGCTACCTAACCTTGCCATGTTAGCTAAAGGGGGTTGGCGCCTAATGCAGGAGAAAGATACGCTATGGACACAAGTTATGCAGGCGAAATACGGAAGACAAAGACAAGGCCTCAGTCTTCTCTGTCCTGTTCAGGGAAGTTCCTTCACCTGGACCAGTTTCTCTAAAGCTATCCCCATCCTTGAAAATCGGTGTGTGTGGAATATTAAAAATGGTCGAAGCACTAAATTTTGGAATGATCCTTGGGTTTTGCAGGTCCCTTTACGAGATATGGCTCTAGACGAAATCCTGATGGAGCTGGAGGAGGCTACAGTGGCCGATTTTGCTCATGAGGATGGAAGCTGGCGTACAGAGCTCTTTAGCGACCTCTGTCAAGGACCAACTCTTGGCCGTGCGGCACTTAGCACTCAAGTCTCGTTAGAGCACTAAGTCAGCATTGCTCGTATTCACTCAAACTCACAAGTATGGAGAAAAGCTCTAGAGATGTAAAACTCTCAATTTCTGGATGAATGAAAAATGATGGAGAGGGATGCTTATATAGGCATCCTCTCCACTAAGTACAATGTACATGGCCGTCATAAATGAACGAACCTAGAAGTCCCCCCATACATGAACTAGCCCCATACATGAATGTAATAAATAGGTGCATGAATAAAAGATAGGAAAAGGGGGATGTATGTACATTGGTGCATGAATCGCAAGATGCATGCATGCACCTACATCCTTCTAGAACGATCTAGAGTCTTCCGCATAACATTCTCCCCCACTCAATCTCGCGACGCCCTCGTCGTGGACTCCGCATGAAACGCCTCGATCAAGTCTTTGTGACGCCATAGCGAAAGCTCCTTCTCCCATGTGATGTCGCTTTCTGGCCGCCCCTTCCACTTGACAAGATATTCCCCGTAGCTTGGGTGAACACCACGCCTAGGCACAACACGATGAGACAAGATCTCCTCAACTTCGTGCTCATGTGTTGTGGTGACGAGAGTTGGTGCCCTCGTCGACTCCTTTCGCGCTCCATCTTCCTTGTCTTCATGATATGGCTTCAATTGACTCACATGGAAGACGGGGTGAATCTCCAAGTGCGATGGCAACTCTACTTTGTACGCCACCGTGCCAATCCGCTTCAAGATCGGATATGGCCCTTCATATCGTCGCAGCAGCCCCTTGTGCACATTTTTGAGGTGCTTGAATCGATGAGGGAAGTACTTCACCATCACCAAGTCTCCCTCCTCGAATTCCAAGTGACGCCGCTTCTTATCCGCCCACTTCTTCATCTTCTTCTTTGCTCGAGCGAGATAAGACTTCGCCAACTCCATCTTCTCGTGCCACCCTCGTGCAAACTTGTAGGCAGAAGGGCTGTTGCCCTTGTACCCCGTCGTCACCGTATTAGGTGTCAACGGCTGTTGCCCGGTAGCCAACTCGAACGGACTCTTGCTTATGGCTTCACTTCGGTGTAAGTTGTAGGAGAATTGGGCTACATCCAATAGCTTCACCCAATCCTTCTGGTTGGCACTCACATAATGCCTCAAGTAGACCTCCACCAAAGCATTGACCCGCTCGGTTTGCCCATCCGTTTGAGGATGAAAGCTCGTGGAGAAGTTTAGATCGGAGCCCATCATCTTGAACAACTCCCTCCAAAACTTGCCGGTGAAGCGACCGTCTCCGGGATGCCCCAATACTTCACGACATGCTTGAAAAATAAGCGGGCTGCATCCTCGGCCGTCATGTCTTTGGGCCCCGCGATGAAGACGCCATACTTCGAAAATCGGTCGACGACGACCATGATGGAACCACACCCTTCGACTTTGGGAAGGCCGATGATGAAATCCATGCTAACGCTTTCCCAAGGCCGTTGTGGAGTGGGTAATGGCTCCAACAAGCCCGTCGGACTTCGCTGCTCCATCTTGTCTTGTTGGCAAACAAGACAAGTCTTGACGTAGAGTTCCACGTCGTCCTTCATACGAGGCCAATAGTAAGCCTCCTCGATGAGAGCTTGTGTGCGCTCAATGCCGGGATGACCAGCCCACTTGGAGTCGTGGCACTCCTTCATGATCTCCCTTCGTAGGTTGTCCCACCGCGACACATTGTCCGTCTTTACAACGAACTTCGACCCAAGCAAGTAATGCCTCCACATCCTCAAACAATGTACCAGCGCCGTCATCTCCTTCTCTTGAACCGCATATCTTCTCTCGGGCTCATTGAGCTTGCGGATCTCAAAAGCAATTGGGTGCCCTTCTTGCATCAATACCCCACCGATTGCAAAATCGGAAGCATCCGTTTGCACTTCATACGCCTTCGTTGGATCGAGAAGTGCTAGCACTGGCTCCTTCGTCACCGCATACTTCAAGGCTTCAAATGCTTCGCGGCACCAATCCGACCACTCCCAAGCCTTGTTCTTCTTTAGAAGATCCGTCAAGGGTGCTGCAAGAGAGGAGTATCCCTTGATGAATCTCCTATAATAGTTGGCCAGGCCGAGGAATGATCGCAACTCGGTGACCCTCGTTGGCGGCTCCCATCCTTGTATCGCCTCCACCTTGGCTTCGTCCATCTTTAGTTTGCCTCCTCCAATGATGTGGCCGAGGAAAGGAACCTTCCAGCTGCAAACGTGCACTTCTCCTTCTTGACGTAGAGCTCGTTGTCTCGAAGGACTTGGAACACTTGTCGCAAGTTCTCGGCATGTTCATCGAGTGTGTTGCTGTAGACCACGATGTCATCCAAGTACACCACCACGAAGCGATCCAAGAACGGCTCGAATACTTGGTTCATCAAGGTGCAAAAAGTAGCAGGAGCGTTGGTTAGACCAAAAGGCATAACTAAGAACTCATATGAGCCATACTTCGTCATTCATGCCGTCTTCGCCTCGTCCCCCTCGGCTATCCTCACTTGATAGTATCCCGAGCAAAGATCAAGCTTCGTGAACCACTTTGATTCTCCGAGTTGATCAAACAATTCGCCAATATTAGGGATCGGCCACTTGTTCTTCACCGTGAGCTTGTTAATAGCTTGATAATCGATGCACATCCGCAACGAACCATCTTTCTTCTTCTGGAACAAAACGGGTGCTCCGTAGGGGGATTTCGACGATTGGATGAAGCCAGCATCCATCAACTCCTTGAGTTGCTTCCTCAATTCCTCCAACTCGGGAGGGGCCATGCGATAAGGTTCTCTCGCTGGTGGTGTCGCTCCTTGCTCAAGCTCGATCTTGTGATCGACTTCTCTTCTTGGCGGGAGATTCTTTGGTAGTTCCTTTGGCATCACATCCACGAACTCCTCCAACACGCCTTCGATGAGAGGCGTTGGCGCCACCGAGCCTCCTTCTTCCTTCGCTCGCAAAGTGACAAGGAACGTGGGTTCCATCCTCTTCATTCCCTTCACCAATTGCATGACCGATAAAGCTCTCTTCAGCCCTTCTTCGCGCAACATCTTCACCGCGCAAAATTTGTCTCCCTTGTCAAGGCAAAGAGTGTTGGACTTCATTGCCATCACCGCACCTTCTTTCTCCATGAAGTTGACGCCAAGAATGACCGGATGGTCATCCATAGTGATGACGCTAAAGTCGGCAGCACCTTCCCAACCTTCGATCTTCAAAGGCACGTTGTTGGCAACCCCATGGATGGGTATTGCCTCGGAATTGACGGTCTTGAGCAATCCTTGCCTCCTCTCGTAAGCGATCCCCAAGCGCTCCGCCTCCTCCACTCGAAGGAAGTTGTCGGTCGCACCGGTGTCAACCAATGCTTTTGACTCGCCTCCCTCAAATTGGGTGATCACAAAGAATCTCCCCTTGCTAACTTCGTTGGCGCCGGACTTCGCCGCGCCTAGCCTCCGCATGGAGCCTATCTTCCCTTCGTCTTCCCTATCATTCTCCTTGGTCTCCCCTTCTTGTTTCTCCAAGGCTGCTAGCTTGCTCTTCTTTGGGCAATCTCGCACCTTATGTGGGCCGTTGCAAAGGAAACAAGACATGGGTTTGTCAAAGTTACCAGATCTTGCCCCCTTGCTCGAGCCTCCATGTTGGTACGAGCCTTTTCCTTCTTTGGAGTGCAGCCGGTGATCTCCTCCTCCTTTGCTCTTCGAGTGCTTCGACTCGTTCGGTCTCTCACTCTTCTTGTACTCCGTGAGAGCCTCTGCCGTTGCTAAGGCAGTAGCAAGATCTTGCACTCCATGCCTCTCGAGCTCTAGCTTTGCACAAGGCTGCAATCCGAAAAGGAAGCCAAACAAAGCCTCCTTGTCCGGCAGATCGGGGATCTTGAGTAGCAATTCCGAGAACTCCTTGACATACTCACGAATTCCGCCAGTGTGGGTGAGTCGTCGAAGCTTTGCACGAGCCTCCATCTCCACATTCTACGGGTAGAACTGCCTCTTGATTTCTTGACGGAAATCCTCCCATGTGTCGATCACACATGTGCCTCTCTCTACATCACCTTGCCTCCTTCTCCACCACACCATGGCCGTGTCGACCAAGTAAAGGGAGGGGGTGCGCACCATGACTTCATTGTCATCGATCCCTGAGGCCTTAAAATACTGTTCAAGGCTCCATAGGAAATTCTCTAATTCCCTCGCGTTCCTCGATCCACCGAAGTTCTTTGGCCTTGGAACATCTACTCGTGGAGTAGATTGAGTCGCGGCAGGTCCGTTAGCCACGGCTCGTTTGACGAGATTGAGCTCTCCTCGAAGCTCGTCAAATTCTTCCCTCACTTCGCCCACCTGGCCTCGAACAGTCTCCCTCAAGGAGTCGATGGCGTTGGTGATGATGGTCACAAACTCGTCTCTGAAAGCTTCTAACCCCACCTCCAAGTTTGACATTCGTGTGCCCATGCCTTGCATGTCGCCCTTCGAAGTCTGCACCTCTCCGCTGACTTGTTCGAATTGCGACTCCATGTCCTCGAACATGGTTGTATGCTTGGCAATCTTCGTCTCCGCTCTTTTGAGCCTCTCCTCGATTGCCACCAAAGGCTCTCGAGTTGATCTATCACGATGTTTCTTGCTGTTTGGATCCTTCTTCTCCTCACGACCGCGTTGTTCCTCATTGTTGAGAACTTCGCTTCCGCATCCAGCCATCTGCTCGAGGTTCTTTCTCACTTGATGAGCTACGACCTTGGCTCTGATACCACTTGTCACGGACCAACTCTTGGCCGTGCGGCACTTAGCACTCAAGTCTCGTTAGAGCACTAAGTCAGCATTGCTCGTATTCACTCAAACTCACAAGTATGGAGAAAAGCTCTAGAGATGGAAAACTCTCAATTTCTGGATGAATGAAAAATGATGGAGAGGGATTCTTATATAGGCATCCTCTCCACTAAGTATAATGTACATGGCCGTCATAAATGAACGAACCTAGAAGTCCCCCCATACATGAACTAGCCCCATACATGAATGTAATAAATAGGTGCATGAATAAAAGATAAGAAAGGGGGGATGTATGTACATTGGTGCATGAATCGCAAGATGCATGCATGTACCTACATCCTTCTAGAACGATCTAGAGTCTTCCGCGTAACACCTCCTACCGAGTGAAATCTACTTGAAGATTTTGTGTATTGCGGTTGACAAGCTTTCCCAGGAGGCAGACCCGGATGAGAAGTACTAAAAGATCATTTGGCGATTACCGGTTCCGGAATGTGTTCGAACCTTCTTGTGGCAGACCCTTTTGGGGAAGATTGCGACGAATGCCCTCCGGCACAGCAGGAAGATCGCGGCGAACCCCTTCTACGCGCAATGCACGGGGCATCCGGAATCGATCCTCCACATCCTTAGAGACTGCGCTCTGGCTCTTTTCTTTTGGGCTCGTCATGTTCCTCCTCAACATCAACATAGTTTCTTCAGTGCTACTCAGGATGTTTGGCTCCGCATGAACCTCATGGAGGCGGAGATGACAGCGGGAGACATTAGTTGGCCAGCCTTTTTCAGCATGGCGGCTTGGTTTCTATGGAAGAACAGGTGCACAACTTCTATCCAAGGAAGGACTTCCGCTCTCTCTGCTCCATCTCTGGAACATTCCATCATGACCAAGACGAAACTTTGGCACGACTCCTGGCATGCCCCTACAATCCTCCCGGACAACCGATATCGCCCAACTGAGCGCCATGTGGAACACATCTGCTGGTCCCCTCCTCCGGATGGGTGGGTTACTTTGAATGTCGATGGATCCTCAAATGGAAACCCAGGTCCTGCAGGGGCAGGGGGAGTGGTCAGAGACTCTATGGGAAAGTGGCTTGGAGGTTTTGTCGTCAACATTGGGGAGGCTACTGCTGGCCATGCGGAGATTTGGGGGATTAACCATGGCCTGAACCTGGCTTGGTAGCTTGGCTATAGAACGGTGAGGGTAGAGACGGACTCCCAGCTGGCTCTGAATCTCATTCCGAACAGAGAAGACCCTATCCATCCTTATGCTACTCTTCTTTCTAGTATTCGCAGGAAACTAGGACGGGACTGGTTGGTGAGCATCACTCATGTGTATCGAGAAGGGAATAGAGTCGCGGACTGGCTCTCGAAGCACAGTCTCGTCTATCCCTACGGTGTACATGAGCTTGATAATCCTCCACCCGGGCTAGTGGGTTTGCTTAGAGATGACGACCTTGGTACTACTTTCGAGCGACGTGTTGCGGCTCGAACTCTCTCCTCCTCTTAACTCTCTGTAACTCTCTCTTTCCCGGCCTCGGCCTCCCGATAATGCTATAAAAAAAAATAGTAACGTAGTTGGTGTCATTATTAAAGGGTGTGTATAAGCATTATCAGCGTTTGAAAAAATAAGATATTAATAATATCTAGTAAGGTACCTAACAACCATTAGTTGCTATTATTATCAAAGTTTTTTGTTGCATTATCCATTAAACACATGTTAGTTATAATGTGTTTATTAATGTTTTTTTATTATCAACAAAAGTCTATTTCTTTATCAGTGCCTTGTACATTTGTTATTAATTTTTTTAATATCATTATTAAAAGCTTGATTACATTTTATAAATATTGAAGTTGGACATTATTATATTGATATTTTGTGTTTATTTTCAACCAAATACTTTTCGCTATCAATGATTTATTGTATTGTTATTAAAAGTTTGACGTTGAGGCATGAATGTTGGTTTGCTTGTACTAATATTTTTCTTTACTAATGTTTGTTTGTATGAATCACACAGATGCACTATGTCACAAGTGTCCAAGATGTTGAAAATTAGTATTGTGCTTTATGATCATTGAGAATGATAATGTAAAGCAATATTATTGCAAAACGTTAGTAATATCATTAGAAATCATTGGAAGAGGCCATGACTAGATAGTTATAAACATAATGTGAAAATGTGAATCATTAGTAAAGATGTTGTAAATCAATGATATTGTTATTCAAACTGTTAATGACCATGTTACATAACTTTAGTGATTCATTCATAAATGTTGATGACGAAACTATAAAACGGTAACAATTGATCCAAAATTGTTAATAATATAATTATAAAGAATTAATAGGTATAATGAAATCGTTAACAATGATGAGGTATAGTAATAATGATTCATTTCATAAATGTTGATAATGTCATTGCAAAACATTAATACTGCATTGCAAATTGCCACGAAGTGAGAGAGCGAACATATATTTTTAATTTAAATTTCACTTTTTAAGAAATTAAAATATTAAGTTCAAATTGTATTAAATATTAAATAATAATATTTAATTAAATTAATTTTGAATTTCCTTTTAATTATAGTGGAGAGAGAAGGTTATGGAGAAGATCAAGGGAGAGAGAGAAAAAGAATCATTAATGAGTAATATTAATTATATTTTTATAATATTTTATTTATCCTCAACTACCTATTAATTAACTACTAACCCCTATTTAACTTCATAATCTACTATCAACCAATAAAAATGGTTTAAGAATCTCCTTAAACAATAAGGCTTAAGGACCTGATCTGACCCGGATTCTATCACTTCATCTCTTCTGGTTTCCCCTGTTCTCTACTTTCTATAGAAAATAGAAATCCTAGAAATCATACCTTAGTTTTATTTTGACGAAGCATTTTAATTGTACACTGGGTCGGTTCGGGTTGCTCAGGTTTCAAAACATTGAACCCGAGACCAACCCAGAAAATTGTCGGGTCTTCATTCAAGCACCCACATCCAACCATTTAACTTAGTTTTTTTCGGTTTGCGGGTTGGTTCGGGTTGGGTGACACGGGTGGGCCAGGTTTCGGGTCACTTTGTTCACCCCTACTTTTGTTTTTTAGAAGGAAATTTGAGAGAAGGGAAGGTAGTAAAAAAAATGCCAGCGAATCTTACGGAAAGGACAGCAATGTGGAAACGGCCAACTGAAACTCTCCTCCGGGTAAACCGCCCGGGTCTGTTGGGTCACACCAGATTTGACCAAATCCAGGTGGATGCTTTAGTGAGCTGATGTGGCCCATTTTGTGGCCAGGTCAGGGTTAAACCGGGTTGACCCGTGGGTTGACAACCTTAATCGCAACTAAAACCACAAAGGATAGCAAAACGTCTCCTCGCAACACTTCTAGCTGACGAACGACGTTTCTTTTTTACTTAGTCCATACCCCAAACAAGGTCGTTTGTTTTAGAAAGGGTTAATTGCATGGTTGGTTACTGAGATTACAAAAAACGTTCAAGTTTGGTCACTCGAAATATTTAAATTCATTGGTGGTACTTCTGTTTACCAAAACCGTTCACGTTTGGTCACTCTCCGTCCAACTCCGTTAATTTTGGCTGATGTGGCAGTCAACTCTCAAAGTTGGCCGTTAACTTAGTGACGTGGCAACTAAAAAATTATTAAAAATAAAACAAAAACTTTAATATTTTCCACCTCATTATTACATTCATTAAACAATAAAAAATCTAAAAATATAATTTTTTTTCTACAAACCCCATACCCGACTCCCACCTCTCGCCGGACTCCTCATTGCGAATCTCCCGACCACCGGCATCCATGCCGGCAACACCTCCCCTCCGAAATCTTTCTGAAACATCCCCACCCGAACCCGATTTCGCTCCTCTGCCGCACCGCCACCGCTGACCTCCGCTTCTCCGTGAAAGCCTCCAGCCTCTCTCTAGAGAATAACCCCACCTTTTTCGCCTTTTCCGCCTCCCTTATTTCCGGAACCGCCGCATAATCCCTTTTCAGCGGCGGAGTGGCGGGCGCAATTGGGGAAGGGTAGGTGAAGCTGCCGAATTCGGAGGCGAGAGGGATGGTGTAAACAACTCCTTCCGTCGCTAGATCCCCGAGTGAATCGGTGACTCGGTCGACTCAGCAATCGACTCGCTGAAGGGGTCGGCGGTGGTGGGAGTAAATGGGCGGTTCCCCTCGCTGCTTTGTTGGCCCATCGTGAAGAAGGTCTTGGGGAGCTTGGGGATGTCGTCCTGCCGCTGACGGCGGACCCCTTTCCCTTTCCGATGAGTAGTTGTACCATTGTGGATCTCCGCCGTAGGATTGGGCTTCTTGGCGAGACAGCGGGCGGCTGACATCCCTTGTAGGGGCGGCGAGGGTGGCGGTGGAATCATCGGTGGTGGAAGAGTAGTGGTGGTGGTTTTTTTGGCGGACGAGCTGCAACTCATCAAGCAACCCATTTTTCAGTCGAGTCGAACGGTGCAGAGATTAGATCACATATTGAATTGACTATTCGAGTAGGGAGTGATGGTTTGGAGTTCATATAAATGTGTGTGGAGCAGGGATAATAAGTAATAACAGAGATTGGGGGAAGTTTAGCAGTAGAACACAACTCTTCGCTCACTCTGGCATTATTATTAATCGAAAAAGAATATTAGTCCTGAAGAACGGAGATGAGTTGTAGAAAAAAAAAAGTTAGATTTTTTATATTTTTATATTTTTTAATGGAAGTAATAATGAGGTGGAAAATATAAAGTTTATTTTTTTATTTTTAATAATTTTTTAGTTGCCACATCACTATGTTAACGGTCAACTTTGAGAGTTGACTGCCACATCAGCCAAAGTTAACGGAATTGGACGGAGAGTGACCAAACGTGAACGGTTTTGATAAACTGAAGTACCACCAATAGATTTAAATATTTCGAGTGACCAAACTTGAACGTTTTTTGTAATCTTAGTGACCAACCATGCAATTAACCCGTTTTAGAAACACAGTTGTGTGTTGTTTGGCCACAACAACTCTGCGTCTCTGTTGGATCCATCAACACACAACATTGTTGGCCTTTTACACAAATGCAATGTCGCGGAAGCTATCTTGGCCGAATCATTATCCTTCTCCATTAAGGAACAAAAAGCTTGTTTTTATTTGTTTTCTTCTTATTCCAATTTAATTTTATTATCCTACGTGGCTTCGAGTGATTAAAAAATTGCTGTCAAACGCTCTCTCCTATCTCCTCTCTTTCTTAGGCAATTGCATCGTAGCAGCAATTTCTCCTAGGATTTGATTGGAGAAAACACGTACGAAGGCGACGTCAATCCGACGGCCGGAAGTGGTGTGCCACGACTCCTTCACCTCTATGGTGCATACATGAGGTCATATGGAGCGATGGATTCGCCTCCTTGTGCCTGTCAGGGAATTGCAAGTAACCCCCTTGTGGGAGAAAGTCCGATTTAGTCGGTGATTAGAGTTATCCATCAAAAAAGATTTTTGGGATAATGATCATAGATCCTTGCATCCAGATGGGATAATCTCAAATCCGAAGCAAATAATCACAAACGTGATTGATTCGATCCCCACGCCACCCTATTTAAGCGTGCATCGAGGACAGGGAGAAGGTACCCTTAGCAATACATAGTTGATAGCAAAGAAAAGGAGATTTCGATCAAACCATCACTGGTCCTGTGATTGCAAAGCTAAGACTATACAGTATGTTATCGTTACGTGGGGTTCTTCTCCTTCGACAATTCTGGGTGTGGTTATTTCCGTTTGTGGGAATATGTGTCTTGCATTGTGTGTTGTTGGTTGGTTGCAGCTCCCGCACAATGTTCAGGCGAAAAACAAAATGGAGTCTGCTAAGAATATTGTGAACAAGAATCAAGTTGTTGAATTCGAGGCTGAAGACGTTCAATCCGCGCTACAACCAACTAAGCAGAGTCTCCTAGGCAGGTTGTTCATGGACAATACGCCTGGCCTCTTGGTGATCCATAAGATTGTGACTCGAGCATGGGAATGTATAGTTAAGGTGTTAGAGGTGGAAGAAGGCCTTCTCCAATTCTTCTTCACAGATGAGTCGGATCGCGACTAGGTCCTCCATTGGACACCTTGGCCTATGAAGGACAGAGTGCTTCAGCTGCAGCCATGAGCTCCCATCACTCCGGCGCTGGCGGATTCTTTCATCCACGTTCCTTTTTGGGTTCAAATGTGGGGTATCCTGCCTCACTATCGCACAATTGCTTCTTTTAGAAGAAGAGTTGCTTCCTCCAAGATTGGGGAAGTGATGGATGCTGGAGTGTTCGCCATTAAGAAGGAACCAGACCACTTTATTAAAATCCCAGTTAAGCTTTATGTCTTGGAGCCACTTAGGTCTCAGATTTATGCTAGTAACCCAAAAGTTGGTGAATTCTGGGTTACCTTGGTTTACGAATTCTTGCCCTATACTGTTACCATTGTGGCAGATTGGGTCATATGGAAAGAGACTGTACATTCCCAAACCCGGAGGGTGAGGAGCATTATGGCCAGGAGCTCACGACTAAGGTGGTGGGGTACAAAATTGTCGAGGGGAACTGTAAGGCAGGGAATGTGTATGGTGATCGCCAAGATGCTGTCTGGATCAATCCAAGTAGACCTGTTGCAGCGAACTCAATGGTCGGGCAGTAGATGAATGCCCCACAATCTGGAGGTGACATGGAGATTGATGAGGGAGGGGTTCCCCGAAACATTATTCAGGGTCTCTCCAAGACATGATTGACTGATATGAATGAAAATGATATGAATATCAATACAGGCTCAGTCTTGAAGACCAATGTTGTTAGTACAGACGATCGGGGTAAGGGGCGCGGCTCCACCAAGAAATTGGGCTCTTTGTAGCCTTCACATTCTCAGGGAAGGGGTCGTGGTGGATTTCAGTCGTCGAACCATGGCAGAGGTCCCATTCTAATTGGAAGCACTGGGAAACAATCTGCTCCGGCTCGTCAGACAGATATGGTAAGCTGATCATGGACAGATAACATGGGGAACCAATGGGGAGACTATGGCCTCGATGAGCAAGGCTATCAGTTAGAAAGTTTGCCTCTCTGTAGATATGTGTAATGCGGATTTCCTAGTGTCTCTGTTGCAATTCTCGGAACGCAAGAATGAGGCTTGCGTGTTGGTGGTTTGTCGGTGAAGTGGCAGAGAGGAGATGAACCGCAGCTGTCGAATCCAGCTGGAGTTCCACCATCTTGTAGCCAGTATCCCACTCCAATTGCATTCCCTTAAGAGCGCTCCATAGATCCGCGCGAGTGATCGTGCATTTTTCCAGGTTCATTGCGTAGGCCCCTAACAAGTGACCCTACCAGTCTCGAAGCGCCCCTGCAGCTGTAGACCCTGGTGGTCAGATGAGAGAACCATCAGAGTTCACTATGAGCCAGTCTGTCGGCACCGGTCTCCACCCAACAGCCACGTGTCGACGCGACCCCGAACTCCCCAGTGATATAACGTGGTTCGCAGCTTGACTCTGTCGCGCAATGACCTCCAAAAGAGAGCCGCAGGTAAGAACTTGGCAATTAAAGAAACATTCCACTCACCTTCAGCTGTCAGTCTGTCACCATATCCGCAACCATCGCATCCACCGAGAATCCCTCCTTATCCGTCCAAGCTTCTTCACTCAGCGGGCTGCCCGCATCCGTCCAGGCTTCTGCCCAGAAGTTATTCGTTCGCCCCTCCCGGATGCTCCATGATGACTCGATATATACACATGTTTTTGTCCACCATTTTTGTACCGTTTGAGTCTTATTTCTCGTGTTTTAGGCCAATTTCATGCTAGGTTGTTCTTGTTTGTGATATTTCAGGTCCTAGTACGTGAATGAAGGTTTAGGAACGAGTTCAGAGTCGATTGGACGGAGATCGGAAATTTGGCGAGATGCTGAGGAAGTCACACGGGCATGCCTAAAACCCACACGGCCGTGTAAGGGAACCCATGTGGCCGTGTGGAAATTCCAGGGAACTCACACGGGCAGTCTAGAAATCCACACGGGCGTGTGGTTGTGGCCATGTAGGATGGCTGGAAGTCACTTAATCGAAACGCGGTGTTTTGACATCCACACGGGCAGACTGGAAAGCCACACGGCCATGTGGCCTGGCCGTGTGGTCGGGAAATTCTGGGTTTTTAACCCAGTTTCGAGCCAAAGGATGGGGAGAGCTGGGTTTTGGATCCCAAACACCCAAGGGACGAACCAAAGAGAGAGAGGGCGATTTGAGGGCATTCTTATAGTGGAACTGGAGGATTTCTTCGCCTAGGAAGCTCGAGGAACAAGCCCGGACTTGAAGACTGATCATCTGAAGATTCTTCTGCAGTCTCTCTCTTCTCTATGGAGTAACTTCCCTTCACTTAGGTTTTGAGGAACCCTAGCTATGTTTTTTTGATTGGATAGTTGTATGAGTACTCCTACTTGATAATATTTAGTTCATATTCAATCTATGCACGTTTTCATGATTTAATTCTGCTTTAGTCGCGATTATTGATTCCGCTTTGATCCTATGAGAGCGAATACCTGATTAGAGCACCATAGATTGATAGTATAGGATCGATTGCTTTAGTCAAGGGTTGATTCAATGCTTTGCATCGATTGAGAACCTCATTCGATAGAGGGAATCTAGTTCAGAACGCCTTGATCGGTTGTTCTAGAAAAGGATACGTCCCTCTAGGCAATTGACTCAAGAGGGCCTTGTTCCTTTAGTCGAGACTCAAGGTCTAGTGAAGGATTCTCTGCATTGTGAATGAAAGTGAAACAGGTTAGAGATCATCAATCATTAATCTGGCTAGTGGCTAGGGGGAATCATACCTAAGTGTGTTCCCAACCTGTAATTAGATTAACTTTAACTTTAGTTTGCTAGAGTAGTTTTAGTTCTTTCATCTTAATATGGTTTGCTAGATAATGAACTGAAGCTGAGTAATAGTAACTCTAGAGACCCGTGGATTCAATATTTATTACTTGGGCCACTATACTGCAGTCCCTTTCATTGGTTACACTTGGCCATTGTTAGGAGTTGTGTCATAGCGACTCAAGTTTTGGGCGCCGTTGCCGGAGACTTTCTAGATTATTAGGAAAGGCAGAAGTTTGTTACTTTAGCGTTTTTCTTTTCTTTTCCATCCTTGCTTTTCACTTGGGTGTTTTTGTTTTTGTTGGTGCAGATCTAAATCATGGATCCTCGTGGCTTCAGCAACCATTGGGGGTATCCACCACCATCCGAGTGGTATTACCCCGAGACTCCCTGGAGCAATCAAGGAGGAGAAGACTATGGATTCGGGTTCCAGTACCACCCTCTTACTACGTAGAACAATAAGACCCCTGGGCATATCAAGAAAAACCTCATTACCAAGAAGACTTTCTCCCACAACCAGAAGGGCCATCGGCGCTGGAGTTACCCATGGCGGCCTTCACGAGCCATTCTGCAGAGCCATGCTACACTCCACAGCCAGATCCAAACTATGAATTGAGGCTTCTCATGGAGCAGTTTGCTCGAGACAGTGAGAGATCATGGTCCAGGATGGATCTTTGTACCCAAGCCTATTGTGAAACAGAGGAGATCCTCCTGAGCATTTAAGAAGAGTGTCGATGATCTTGAGCGATCTTATGCACAACCTGCTCTAGATCACCCTTCTACTACCATACTAGAAGAGGTGTAGGAAGAAGAAGGCCACAAGGACATTGTGGAGCACACTGAAGTTGTCACGGAGAGCTTCCGTGATGATCATGATCAGGAATGTCCTGTCGTAGCCGACCACACCGTCCCACACCCCAAACTGAGCTTTGAAGAGGAGGGCATGAGTGAGGAGATGCAAGAAGATCTCATGGAAGAAATTGCTTGGCAACTTGCTCTCCAATCCGTGATAGAAGAAGAAGAGAGAGAAAGGATGCAGAAAGAAGTTGTGGAGGATGACAAAAGTGAAGCAGAAGGAGTTCTTGATCATTTCCCAGGAGTGATACTACATGAAGAAGGAAGGGAGGTTGAAGAAGCAATTGGCGTCCAGGCTGAGGACGGAGTTGAGATGGAAGAGCTTTGCACCGGCCATGAGTTACATGTGATATCTCCCCCAAACTTTGAGCAACTACTTAGCAAGGACCCATTTGCAGTGTCTCTTTGCCAGACCAAGGCCACTTCGACATCGGTCCCTCTTGGTGGACGCGATGGTGGTCAATCGATGCTGTCATATCTAGTTTGGGGCAATGAGACGAGAGAAGAGAAGAAGAGGTCTCGAGGGTGGAGAAGTTATCTGCATCAAGTGCACGAGCTTCCATCACCTGTCATACCACATGTTCGTGACTTAAGAATCCACCTCATCGACGAGAAATTTAACTTCAAGGAGGTTTTGGGGTGGACCGAAACTTAGAAGCCATCGTCCGGCTCACGACGTGAAAGAAGCGCTTCTTGGGAGGCAACCCAACCAGTCGGTTTGCATTTCTTTCTCTTTTTCTCCTCGCTTGAGTCAGCTTTGTTATTTGATTTTAGAGTCAATAACTCAACCTTTGTGGGATTTTGTGTGGTGTTTGTGTTCCGACTACTCTCTCCTCCTAGAATGCAACGACTGCCCTGTCCACCATCATTCACCCTTGATCTGGTAACTTCGTTCGACCCTCCTTATCTTTCCTTCATTGAGGACAATGTCGTGCTTAAGTATGGGGGGATGTTCAATTATGTATGCGGGTGAATGTTTGGTTGTTTGTGTGCTTGGAGCCTAGTCCACTGTCCAAATTTTTAAAAATTTGAGGGCTCCAAGTACTTGTTTCCTTGCAAATGACCTGCTCAGTATGCTTTGAATTGACAGTCTCTATAGTAATGTGCAACCTAGGGAGGTAGTGTAACACTATGGAGGATGTGAAGTATAAGATTTTTCCTATCTAGCTCTCTGTTGTGCCAGTTGGTTTTGTGAATTAGTGGAGCTAAGACTGTTGAATTCATGTGGTAATGGTGACTCTATTTTGATTGTGATATGGACTCGTGTATCGAACAGGGTGCTCATGTAGGAAATGAAAAGCAGTTGGTCCTCCATGTCGAAATCATCAAAATCTTAAACATGGGGTAAGCCCAACGTGTGCGGCACCGTGCATTGCACAATATCGGGTTTTGGAAGAGATTTTAGTGATCCTTAGTGGGCACTCCTACAAGGTGAAGCTAAGTTGTCTCTAGTACAAGTAAAACTTCCACCCGTTGAACGGTTGGCCTACTTGAGGATGTGTTTTTAAGGGCACAGATAGAGCTTCCGACCCCCCTTAATTTCATTGACCCTCCACGCGAGTTGAGGAAAAGGAGTTAAAAGAAGTACTCTGGCGAGCGCCAGATGTACAAAAATTGCTCTTGCTCGACTAATAAGGATCGGCCGGGCAAAAGACTGCAGTTGGAACCCCCGCCAAGTGAATGAAAAGAAAAGAAAAAAAAGTAAAATGAAAGTGAGAAAGGGGTTCCAACGGTGAAATGAAGTGAAAGAGCACCCCGGTACAACGAGTCCTTGGTTGTGAATGGTATGAGTCCCTTTATCCATGAACTGACTGTCTTACTTCCACTTCTTCTCATGATCCTGGCTTGAGTCTAGTACTCGCATTGAGAGAGATAGGGGACGTCTTAGAAGACCAGTTGACCTCGTAAGCTTCTTTATGATCTAGAAAATCCTCTACCGACAATCAGGGTTGTTTGTTGCTATAGAGGTATGGAGAGTTGCATTGGTTTGAGTTAGGTTTACTTGGGGACAAGCAAATAGTTAAGTGAGGGGGAATTTGATGACTCGATATATACACATGTTTTTGTCCACCATTCTTGTACCGTTTGATTCTTATTTCTCGTAATTTAGGCTGATTTCACACTAGGTTGTTCTTGTTTGTGATATTTTAGGTCCTAGTACGTGAATGAAGGTTTAGGAACGAGTTTGGGGTCGATTGGACGGAGATCGGACGTTTGCCGAGAAGCTGAGGAAGTCACACGGGCATGCCTAAAACCCACATGGTCGTGTAAGGGAACCCATATGGCCGTGTGGAAATTCCAGGGAACTCACACGGGCAGCCTGGAAATCCACACGGCCGTGTGGTTGTGGCCGTGTAGGATGGCTGGAAGTCACTTAATCGAAACGCGGTGTTTTGACATCCACACGGGCATACTGGAAAGCCACACGGCCGTGTGGTCAGGAAATTCTGGGTTTTTAACCCAATTTCGAGCCAAAGGATGGGGAGAGCTGGGTTTTGGATCCCAAACACCCACGGGACGAACCAAAGAGAGAGAGAGGGCGATTTGAGGGCATTCTTGGAGTGGAACTGAAGGATTTCTTAGCATAGGAAGCTCGAGGAACAAGCCCGGACTTGAAGACTGATCATCTGAAGATTCTTACTGCAGTCTCTCTCTTCTCTATGGAGTAAATTCCCTTCACTTAGGTTTTGAGGAAACCTAGCTATGTTTGTTTGATTGGATAATTGTATGACTACTCCTACTTGATAATCTTGAGTTCATATTCAATCTATGCACGTTTTCATGATTCAATTATGCTTTAGTCGAGATTATTGATTCTGCTTTGATCCTATGAGAGCGAATACCTGATTATAGCACCATAGATTGATAGTATTGGATCGATTTCTTTATTCGAGGGTTGATGCAATGCTTTGAATTGATTGAGAACCTCATTCGATAGAGGGAATCTAGTTCAGAACGCCTTGATCGGTTGTTCTAGAAAAGGATACGTCCCTCTAGGCAATTGACTCAAGAGGGCCTTGTTCCTTTAGTCGAGACTAAAGGTCTAGTCAAGGATTCTCCGCATTGTGAATGAAAGTGAAACAGGTTAGAGATCATCAATCATTAATCTGGCTAGTGGCTAGGGGGAATCATACCTAAGTGAGCTCCCAACCTGTAATTAGATTAACTTTAACTGTAGTTTGCTAGAGTAGTTTTAGTTCTTTCATCTTAATCTTGTTTGCTAGATAATGAACTGAAGCTGAGTAATAGTAACTCTAGAGACCCGTGGATTCGATATTTATTACTTGGGCCACTATACTGCAGTCCCTTTCATTGGTTACACTTGGCCATTGTTAGGATTTGTGTCATAGGGAGTCACTCCAACAGATGCCTGATAGAGTCAGTCCCCAGATACGTGGTAGTCCCCGCCATAATGAGGAGCCGTCCGATTGACGTCGCACCTGCACACTCGAAGGTCCAGCTTTGAGATACTTCTCTTTTAATACCTGTACCCACAATTCTTCAGGCTTGGTTAACATTGTCCAAGCTAGCTTCATATGGTATCCTGCATTAAGCTCTCGAGCCGATCGGAGCCCCAGGCCGCCTTGGTCTTTTGGGAGGCATATCGTCTCCCAATTAATAAGGTGTATACGCCGTCTTCCTTGTTGAGAGCCCCATATGAATGCCCAGATCTTTTGATCAATCTGGTCACATATTCCTGCAGGAAGAACAAAAGTTTGCATCGCATAGGAGGGAATCACATTCAAAACTGACATGGCCAGTCTAACGCGTCTCGGTAGCGAAAGGTTATCCGCTTTCCATCCTGCTAGGTGCTTATTAATACGATTAAAAATGTATCGATACGTATCCATCGTAATACGACCATGTAAGATTGGGAATCCAAGATAGTGACCCAAGTCTTGTGCCATCGGGATATTCAGTCTCTCGCTGATCAGCTTGCAGGTGTCCCGCTTCCTGAGAGATCCTTTTCTAGATTTTTGGGGACTTGAACTGTGTGTTAAGTTCCTCAGAAAAGAAGGTGGCTTCCCATGGAACCCGGACTCTACCCAGGCTCTTCGTGAGTCGATGGATGTGCTGGGACTTGGAGACATTGGCTTCCGAGGTAGCCCTTTTACTTGGTCGAACAGGAGGATGGGAGCGGCGAGGATTAGAGAAAGGTTGGATTGAGCTTTGGATCCCCATTCTTGGCTCGAAGCTTTCTCGCAGTCCATTGTGCAACACTGTAGAGACCTTGGTTCTGATCATCGTTCGTTGTTGATTGCGAGTAAACCTTATGTGCGACACTCTCGTCCACTGTTTCGCTTCAATGCGGGATGGGATGATAACCCGGAAGTGAAGCTGTTTGTCAATTATGTGTGGGAGCAGGAGATAGGTGGCTCAGCAATGTACCAATTGTGGTCGCAGCTGAAGCAGTTGCATCATCTTTTTTATGATTGGAGTCGTGCAGGCACTAGTAAATCTGCTCGCAATATCCGAATTCTGCAGAATGAATTTGGGGCGTTAAAGCAAGTAGCTTCGATTGATTGGGAGCAAATTAATAGGCTGGAAACGGAACTTAACAGCCAATGGACGGCAGAGGAGAGGTACTAGTATCAAAAGCCTCGTGTTCATTGGCTGCAAGATGGGGATAAAAATACGAGCTACTTCCACGTTGTTACCCGAGTCTGTCGCCGGAAAAATATAGTGGAGAAACTACAAACTCCAGATGGGAGGTGGTGTACGGGAGAGGTCGAGAAAGCCTCTTTAGCTGTTAAATTCTATGAAGCTCTATTCATGTCTGAAAACCAGGTTGAAGATATGGAAGCTCAGCTCCAGTCCTTGCCAATGGAAGGGGTTGTGAGCGATGAGATGAATGCTTGCTTGATAGCGGAGGTTGAACCGAAGGAGATAAGGAGAGCAGTCTTCTTAATTGCTGCTACTCAGGCTCCAGGATATGACGATTTTACCTGGAAGTTTTACAGAATTTATTGGGGGATTATCGGCCCGTCCGTAATTGAGTCAGTTCGCTCCTTCTTTGCATCCAGTCTCATTCTAAGAAGCTTTAATCATACCTGCTTGACTTTGGTCCCTAAGATTGACAGCCCGGAAACAATGAGGCAGATGCGACCTATTAGTCTGTGTCAGGTGTTCTATAAGATCATTTCTAAAATTTTGGCAGAACGAATGGCATTCCATTTGCAATACATTATCTCACTATAGCAGAATGGTTTCGTTCGGGATCTCCAAATTGTTGATAATGTTCTTATCAGTCATGAGTGATGCATTACCTTAGAAATAAGAGGCAAGAGAAGAAAGGTTATATGGCTCTCAAGGTTTATATGGAAAAGGCCTATGACATACTTGAATGACCTTTCTTGCTTGCGGTATTATCCAAACAGAGTATTTGTAATCAATGGGTTCACTGGATTCGAGAGCTGGTAACGACGCTGACATTTTCAGTAATGATGAATGGTAAACCAACATGATACTTTAAGTCATCGCGTGGACTGAGACAAGGGGACCCCTCCCCTAATTTCTCTTTGCAATCTGCACGGAGGAATTCGCTGCTCTTATTCGATGGGCTATTGCGAATGGTGATTTGGTGGGGGTTAAAATCAGAGCCAGTTGTCCGAGTATCTCCCATTTGTTCTTCACGGATGATTCCTACTTATTTATCCGCAGTTCGCCCCAAGAATGTTCTAGATTAGTAGCTATACTCCAGGAGTACCAACGTCTGAGTAGTCAGAAAGTTAATTTGGCCAAGTCAGCCGTTTTCTTTAGTAGGAATGTTGATGACTCCGACCAGTAGGCTATGGCTGCTATTCTTGGTGTCACGGCGGTTGGGGTTCAGGACAAGTACCTGGTTCTGCCTACCTTGGTGCACCGTTCAAATATGGAAACTTTTCATTTTATTGAGGAAAAACTTCTTTAGAAACTCCAAGGGTGGAAGCAACGTCACCTATCTTGGGCGGTGAACGAGACTTTGCTTAAGTCGGTGCTGCGGCATTGCCTTTGTATGCTATGGCTTGTTTCTTGCTTGCTAAGACCCTTTGTCGCAAACTTGATGGCCACAAGGCTAGGTTCTGGTGGGAAAATCTGCATGGGAGAAATCGGATTCCTTGGATTTCTTGGAGGAACTTGTGTCGCAACAAATTTGATGGTGGGTTGGGTTTGCGTCGGTTTGATATGAACCAAGCTCTCGTCGCAAAGATAGGCTGGCGTTTGGTCACTGAACCCGATTGTTTGCTGACGAGAGTATTAAAAGGGAAGTACTACCCTACAATTGATTTCTTGCAAGCTGGTTGTGGATCACGACCGTCGTGGGGGTGGCATAGCATTCTAGCGGGGCGAGGTCTACTTTCCCGTGGCAAGTTAGCAAAGGTGATCGAACTCGAATTCGTGAGGATTGTTGGATCCTTGGGTTGGCGCCCTCTGATTTACTTCATCTAGGCGTTCTTCTACAACGTGATCAGATGGTGGATACTTTGATCCATGAGGAGAAGGGGGAATAGTGTGTGAATTCTCTAGCCCGATGCTAAACTCCAGATATAGTAGCTAGAATTATGGAGATCCCATTGCCACGGGATGCGGTGTGGGACATGCTGGTTTGGGAGAAGGACCAATCAGGAGTTTTTTCGGAGAAATCTGGTTACCATCTGAGGATGCAGATCAGTCATTTGGCTAGGGGTTAGAGGGAGGAGGTGTTGTGGTTTGATTTGACATTCTGAAAAAAGGTTTGGTCTTCTTATATCCCTCCGAAACTTAAGTTTTTTGGATGGCAGGCAATGAACCGAATCCTACAAACGATGGAGGCGCTACGAGAAAAGGGTTGTGAAGTTTCTGAGGAGTGCCCGGTTTGCTGCGAGCCGTCCGAGACCCTCGAGCATTTCTTCCTTCATTGTCGATTACCTATCAACCTAATCCGGGTATGGTTTTTGGTACACCGACGACATCGTTGGTCTAATTCCTGAACCAAACTGATCCGCCAACATCTGTGCTACTTGATCACATATGACATTCACGTTATGCCCCCTTGCGGTATGAATCCACTCGGGACCATGCCATGCGTGTTTGGAGAAGGAGGCTTGTACTGTGGGTACCCACGTGGCGGAACATGGTCGGTGTTAACTGTTCCTCCACCAGTAGCATCACTCGTCGGAGCCATGTAGGGTCTGGCTTCCGAGATACTTTCTGGACCATGTCGTGCATCGGCGTTTGCTTGACATGATTGTTCGCGACGGTGCTACTCTCGTCGAGATCCACTCGCGCCGGCGGCTATGGGTTCACCACATGGATCGGCGGATTTCCCTGTCTCGGCTGACTAACTAGAGCACCATTGTTTAGAAAATCAGTTTCTTCGTTTAAATTGTTTTCATCGTTTAGAGGCAAATCCTTAGTTTCTGTCACTATTCTACCCAAAGCTCCCTAATTTCATTCATATCTAGTATAATTTTATCCACAAAACATCAAAATTATGTATGTTTTCAGTCACAACTTCAAAGAGTTGTCCTATAATCATGTATGTCGTGCAGTTAAAGCATCAAAACGATGGTTTACCTTGCCTTTAAAGCTTGCAAACTCGTTTTTCAGACTAGCAAACTCGTTATTGAGACTAGAAAACATCTTACGATTCTCATCTATGAAATGGCGGATAGACACCTCAGTCGGCCTAGCTGTGGATGGTAGATTCTCATACCCGCAGTTTACTTAAGCATTGATCTCTGTTTCTTGGCCACCTTCAATGCTGGCCACCTGTTCCTCCACAAATTCGGGCAAAACATCCCCTTCCTGATTCCTTCGATGCGGAGGCATGTCGAACACACGTGTCCCACCAAGTGTGCCAAATTTTTTCGCTATGGAAACTCATGTGTTTAATGTGCTATGTTCTCAATGAAAACAAGAACACAAATCAAAGATCAAACGATTGATACTCGGTTCACACCTCTCCAAACAATGTTCGAACGAGCATGTTCGGCGAACAACGATGAAACAATGAGGATTTCTAAGATATGTTACCTCTACTCCTATGGAGGTTCCTTTGGAGAGTTCCGCAACTATGATTACGTCTACGATCTACAACACTGAAAAGGAGATCTTTGATAGAGCAGTTCTACGAAACTAGAGAGAAAAAAAGATGAATTTTACGACACTGTTTGTGATTTGATTTTACCATCTCGAGCTTCTCTCTCCTTATGATGTTTATACCCCACTCCTCAATCTGTAGTTGCAGTAACCTCCTCTCGTCATCTTTGTCTCCCACGTTCTCCACTTTGCTCCAACCTCCAGGTAAACTTCCACTATATTTTGCGTAATTCCCACACGTGTGAAACCGCTTTGTAGAGACTTAGCAAAAACATGCTGAGCAAACCTTGTAGCTATCCATCATGGTTCGATAATCCATCTCGCCTCCAAAGCCATCTATAATCACCTTTCACCATAAAACAACGGTGGAGTCAAAGATGCCCTTCATTGGTAACCCGCGGGTATGCACGCCTCCTTCCTTCACAACTTTGGCATCATGAGAAAACAAATCCACCAATTATCTCAACATGGATTCATGAGTGAACCAATCTCAACAAACCGGCGGGGTTGTTTTCTATTAAACAACGTCGCTCCTCGACCAACCAAAGTTGGATTCGCGGCATTGTCAAACTTAAGCTTAGATCCGCAACACCATTGGTGTTGTGGCCTTATTAAAATAAAAACATTGTTAAATTAGGAATTCAACAATGCTTGATCTCTAGCCTACTTGCCATCATTCTTTTAAATTAAACAATGCCGCTTTTGAACTCAAGCGAGGTTGTTTTTAGCTAAACAACGTTGCTTCCTAGTATCGTCGCGACATCGCCGAACTCATCAGCAACTCCGCTGAACTTCACAATATTTCTCCTCGCTAACTTTAATGACGACACATGGCTCAACGACGTTGCTCTCTTCTAAACAACGTCGTTTCAAGTACCACGACGTTGTTGATTTCTCAAGTGATGTCGTTTTCAACTAAACAACATCGCCCAAAATAATTATGAAAAATATATAATTAATCAAACTAGCCTTGAAACTTGGCCACCACGACCTTGTTTTCAATTAAACAAAGTCACTCTTGGTATCACTACGGTGCCTCTGTTGCGCTCTCAAATGCCCTGGATTGATCAACATTGATCTTGCAGCCCTATCTCAATGCAGGACTTCACAATGTCAATGTGATGCTATTTTGGGCTAAACAACGTTGCTGAGGTGGAAAAATGTAGATCTCCACTATGTGGTCATTACAAAATCTAAAACTCCGAGACTTTGATGAGCTTTGCGGTGTCATCAAGATCTCCTCTCCGTCGAACTCTTAGCACTAAACTTGTTGGCCTCGCTGAGTTGGCCACGCATTCTAATGATGTCGTTACTTCGCGGTGTTTTTTTTTATTACCTCGCAAGATTGCGAGGGTTTAAGGCAACGATGGTCCACCACGCATTGTCCGAAGGATGTGGTCAAGAATTGCCAAAGTTACGTAGTAGGCGTTGTAACATGACGAGCTCACTGCCAACATCTGACATATCCCAGTGTTCTGCTTGGGTGGAGGATTTAGACACTTTATCATGCTTTTTGCAGCTCTAGAATACAAAGGCGTAACAAAGAAAAACACACCAACATGTCGTATAACGATGAGTACCAATGCATCCATCAAATTTACAATTAGAGAAGGCACGTAAGTGTAGACCACCATATGAAGGAAGCAGGAGACATCCTGACGAATTCCCCTGAAGATATAGAAGAATCTGGTGAACTGCAACCATGTGATCAACATGAGGATGAGATATAAACTGACTAACCACCTGAAGGACATATGCAATATTAGAGTGGTAGCCACTAAATAGATCAAGCTCCCAGCTATACTGCGATATACATGGCCGTTAGGTAATGGGGCATCTGAATCACATCCATGCTTGATATTAAGTTCAATAGGACTAAGAACAAGAGTACATGTCATGAAGCGATGTTCAACTAGAAAATCATCAATATACTTGCGTTGAGAAAGGAGAATACCACGAGGTGACCCAACAATTTCAAGACCCGGAAAGTAAGAGAGATTACCGAGCTCCTTTGGGGTAGAACACATGAAGATTGGCTTTCA